CGCCTTAAGGAGCTGTTCTACTCTGTCCTACACAATCGCTAAGAGTCAAAGTCAATTCAAAGGCTGTGGATTTGGGTTTGGTTTTGCAAAGTTACTGTCAGAATTAGAGCTAGTGTCTTTAGTGGTGGATTTAGAATAATGTTATAAATATAGTAAGAATGTAGTATATGGTAGGTCATATTTTAAGTACTATTCTGTTTTATATGTCTTGCTTATGACCAAAATTTCAGGAAACAAGTATCCTTGCAGGGTACCTAATCGTTCTAACCTTCTCAAATAAATCTCCCATCAAATTGATAAGCATTCTTCAGTTATCCCACTGAGTTGGAGAAGTAATCTAAGCAATCGTTCTCTAGACCAATAATTTGAGATGCAATATGATAACCCATCTTTTAAAAATATAGGAATCGTAGAATTCTAGGACCAAAAAGAACTTCACGGGCTAAGATCAAAAGGTCCTTAAGTCAGATCATAAAGAACACAAGTCTTCTTTAAGATATATATCTTTGTAATTTCCCCTACCTTCTCTCCTTTCAATTATTATGCCTACTTCATGGCAACAAACTCTAAGAATAATAATTAATACATAATTACAACCTCTGTCATGAGAGAGTTCACGCTCTCTCCCTCTTCAAAGAACACAATGGTGGCAAGCAGGGATAAAGTTAGTCTGTCTACATTTAGGGACAAAACACTGAGGAGTCAAGAAACAGTTATGCAGAAAGGCATTCCTTACCATGAAGATCTCATCATACATCAGCACCACTTTTTCCTTCAGTGGTTTTTTTGAGGCCAAAGACTTCCGGAGCAAACCTCCCCGTTTCTCCACCTGTGCCATGGTTACAGAATCTGGAAAAAGACAAGTCACAGTGAAGTGCCAGAACCTCTCCAAGATGCTAGACAGATGGTCTACTGCAGTGCCTCTTGAGAGAAAATATTTAAGGAAGAAGAAATTATAAACAATCGTACCATAGATCTTGTGCATCTGTCCAACCTCTGCCCCACACCAGCTAATGTCGGACTTAAATCATCACTTGGCCTACAGAACAACACGTTTTACATCCTTAAGACATGCCACTAGACAAGGCTTAAAGCGGATCCAAAACCAAGCAGGAAAGTGTAACTAGCTCCATCCATAATAAACCCAGCCATATATTTGAGGTTGATGGAAGGAAGGCTGAAAAGCATACACTGCCCGCAGACTGATGGCAAAGTTAAATTTCAAGTATTGATTGGGCTTAGGGCCATTAAGGCAGGAAGTATGTGGCAGACTGATGTGTTCCATCGATTTCTCCAAAGTAAGTGGGTCCACATCACTGCAAAGTACTTGGCCTTCGCTGCCTCATAAATCACATTGCACTTGACTGTCTACAGAAATTCCTCTGGAAAGAGACCCAAGGCCAAAAATGGCACTTCAAGATGCCAAAAATTAAATTTGATTTCAAAATAACTGAATACATACTCCTTCCAAATTTAATTGTTTATTTGTGTAACCCTGTTACAGATCAAACTCCAATGTGATTTCCCAATTCTATATAAAAGCAATCCCATGAATCATCTACAAATTTTCCCATCTTTGCTTCAAGAAATTCTTAAAAATTTCCTCAAGCAAAAAACTCAAAATCCCAGGGGTCCCACTGTGGGTTTTCCAGATTCCCTCACCTCTCCATTATTGATAAACCTCCCTCTCTTTCTTAAACCCTAGGCTCTAGCTGTGAAATTTAATCTAAACCAATGATTAACTACTGGGGCAGTGGGTGGGAGTAACTGGTTTTTACCTCCAGACAAATCCAAAGCAGCAAAACTAATTTTGTTCAATGGCTTTGGAAAGATATGCACTGCCTTTCCAATTAAAATCAACGTTTTGTTGAAAACAGATGCAGCCAATAGCACAAAAAATTATACCTCATATATTGTTTTTCTCTAAAATATCACCCCCAAAAGAGAATCACCTTGAGTGTGTGTGTATGTATATATACATACACAAAAATATGATATATATACACAAAATTCTTTCCTAGAGATGCTTAATATCTAGTTGTGCTTTGAGATATACAGGTATAGCGATAGAGATATATCTCAAAGCATAACTCGCTATTAAGTAGCTCTAGGAAGGAATTACATTTTATACTATTTCATGGTAGATGCTCAGTGTATGCTATTCACTGACAGTTTCTGAAATGAGAAGGAAAAAAAGTGTGTGTGCGTGTGTGCGTGTGTGTGTGTGTGTGTGTGTGTGTGT